TATAACAATAGTCCTTGTTCCCTTTGTTCTCAAATGGGTGCCTCTATTGTGTCCTGGAATAGACAGGTCCGATCGTATCATCTACGGGTCTGGATCATAACATGTGATGTGGACTATCACCTGATCTCTACGCGTCGCATCTGTGGCTGAGTGGCGTGCGATATTGGTGAAGCACGTGATCTGTGGCATGAGCAAAGTCACGTGCGGACTTTGTGGTGAAAATCTGTGACAGTGGTGCTCTTATTGTCTCTGGGGTCCTTACTTCTCGACGCCTCTACACCATCACCAGTACGCCACCATCCACGGAGCATGCTTTTGTCGCTCGTCATGTCCCTTCTCTTGAAACATGATACCATCACCTTGGCCACATGAACTATCACACTGTGGTCAATATGGCCACTTCGTTTCTTCTCTCAGGTATGCCTGTCGACACTTCCTCCGCTCCCCCTAAATGTGACCACTGCATCCTCAGGAAACAGACTCGGTCATCTGTTCCTAAGGTTTGTGTGGGCGATAAGGCTTCTCGAAAGTGGGAGTTGGTGTATGCTGATGTCATGGGACCTTGTGATGGGACTGGGTGTGGAAACTCCATAAAGGCCTCTATGGTATGAAACAGGGTGGTCGTACCTGGAATCATACCATGGATTCTCACCTGCAGGCCATTGGCTTTACTCGCCTTGCATGTGAGTATTGCATCTATTACTGGCATACTGGGAAGGGCATTGTGATGACCGGAGTACATGTTGATGATTTCGCTCTTGTCACGAGTACCACAACTGCTGCTGAGACTTTCAAACGGGAGCTTCGTGAGTTATGGAGCATCTCTGACCTGGGTTGAGGCACAGTTCTGCATCGGTATTGCCATCACTTGTGACCATGCATCTCGTACTGTGGCTCTCTCTCAAACTGCCCTCATTGACAAGATTGTCTCCGACTTCTCTCTCCAAGACGCTCACCCCATTTTCACCCCCATGGATGCTGGATCTCATCTATCTTGCATTGAAAATTCTCTGGCTACCCCTCAGGCCAAGGCTGCTGCTGCCTGTCATCCTTATCATCAGCTCATTGGCTGCCTGCTCTACGTAGCCATGGGCACTCGACCTGACATTGCTCTTGCTGTCCAACAGTTGAGCCAGTTCCTCGATTGCCATGGTGATGCTCATTGGGAGGCTGCGAAGCATATTGTTCGCTATCTCAAGAGCACTCACGATTACAAACTGTTCCTCGGTGGTGACCGCATTGCCAACCTCTCTGGCTACTCAGATGCTAGCTACGCCCCCTGTATCGACACACATTGCTCGATATCTGGCTATTGTTGGTCTCTGGTTCTGGTGTCATCTCCTGGTGTGCTTGTAAGCAAGCGACTGTCTCGCTTTCTACCACGGAAGCAGAATACATCGCGGCGAATGAATCTTGCAAGGATGGCTTATAGCTCCATCTTCTTCTTGATGGCCTACAGTTTCCTCAGGATGGTCCTACTCCTCTCCACTGCAATAACACTGGTGCCATACATCTTACCGAAGATGCCGCATTCCATGCTCGCATCAAGCACATCGAAATCAAGCATCACTTCATTTGACAGCATGTCGCTTCCAATCTTATTACTGTACATTACGTTAATACCCGTGACAACCTTGCCGACACCTTCACCAAACCTCTTGAACATGGTTCCTTCCTGTGCATGCAGAGCTGCATGAGGGTCCAGAAGTCCTCATGTGAGGAGGAGTCTTCCCGGTGAGGAGGAGTGTATGTTCTGTTCTTGATTTATTTTTTTTCTATTTTCATTTCCATATCATTACTTTTGTTTCTTCATTTTCATCGTCATCGCTCTCCTTTCGCACTGAGGAGGAGTGTCGCATCTGTCAATGGCAGCGTGGCAGATTGCAAAGACAGTGTTACGTCATACATGTTCGAGCTACATATACTGTGTCGCCCCTGCCATTCTCCCCTCAGTCCCTACACCACCATAGGACTGAGGTGAGCTAGTTCTGTACCATCTATACTGTACTGTATTCACGCATACCATGTAGGCTGAGATAGTACAGGTGAATAGATGAGTCCCTACACCACCATAGGACTGAGGCTAAGATAGTACAGGTCACAAAACTGTCACCTTGATTGGTAGGCTCAGAAGGAGAAGTTGAGCAAAAACGGTGACAGCAATAGCGAGCATGAAGAAGGTGATCAGAATAATGCACATTGTCAATGTCAAAGCTTGAGGATATGCAGGAGTGGGGGGTTGCTTTCAGTCCAATGTTTATATTCTATCTGTGTGCATACTTGTGTCACCTGACTTTTAGCTCATGGCAGGTTCACAAAAGAATCACGAGCATTCCTAATCTATCAGAATGACCACCGATGCGTGAAATGGGCAGCAGAATAGGTACATTATGAACTGATAACAGTAGGCGATCGAACTCTGTCGGATGGTACCAATTCTCCATCAACATCCATATCGAGACTGAATACACATAATGGGTGACGCTCCACTGCCCTCTGTCACAGATTTTTACCACAAAGTCTGCACATGACTTTCCTCATGCCACAGATCACATGCTTCACCAATATCTCATGCCACTCAGCCACAGACACAACACGTAGAGATCAGGTGATAGTCCACATCACATATTATGGTCCAGACCCGTGGATGATATGGTCGGACCTGTCTATTCCGAGATACAATAGAGGCACCCATTTGGAAACAAAGGGAACAAGGACTATTGTTAAGCATCGGCCTTGCACTTCCTATTAGTTTAGCTAGAAGCCTAGATAGGCACGATGTTCACACTGGAGAACAAAAGGGAAACCAAGATAGGCATGATGTTCACACACATTACTGCAACAGCCATCGATCTTTCCACTTATTGTTCTACTTCTGGACCTTCCATTGTCTCATGTACAGCCATTAGCTTATACCTGTAGATAGGTAGCTTATTTAAGATAGCCCGCTGTACATGTATATAAGACCAGCATTTAAAGGATGAAACCTCAGATTGTTTCTCCTCGTCTACCACTGTAGCACCTTACTGAGCCCACAAGCTCCTTCATATATCTCTCACCCTTCCCACTGCTTGCACTGCCAACAAGTAAGTCTTGGGCTCTTGCGCCACATAAGGGTTCAGGGGGATCAGGGTGGCACGTTCCATGTGACCGATCCTTTTTAGTCTTTTTGATCTCTTGTCCAGCGGTGCTGTGACATTAGAAACAATCTGACAATTTTCTGTGCCCCTGCTTAGTGTCTAACACAAGTGGCCATGTATTTTCAGTGCAAGCAGTTTCAGCCGTAGCGTGCGGCTTTTTTGACACAACTTCCAATCTGATCTCTACCCCACGTGAGCCTCAGCAAGACTCTGAGCTGCCCAAGGCTTCAAGGCGCAAGGCCACACCCAGGATTGACCTCAACACACACTACAAGCATCAGAAAACCAACAAGGGGTGTGGAAGGCTCTTCACACTCGCATCACTAGGCACATCATCCACAGACAGGCAGCGCGCAGCAGCCAGGGTCGTTGATACAATGCACATCATAAAGCGCAGAATCATCTGCAAGCCTCACGATTGCACCCCATCGCTCGAACGCTACAAGCCCAGACAAAGACACCTCACCACTGGTAGTCGCAAGCTGACACCACCCCCAGAGCTCCTCACTTCCAATGCAGTTTCTTCCCCCTATCATCACTCCCATTCCAGTTAAACCCCTCCCAAACTTCATAAAAAAACAACACCATTGCACATCCCATTCACCCACTTCCATCTAGAGTCAGGTCGATGATCCACATCGAGACACTCACAAAGCAGGTAGATGCTACCCACTTCAGGCTCCAACCTATACTAGGAGTGTTCTCATATCATCTCAAGAACGAGCACCAAGGACTAATTTACAGCCTCACCACAGAGCTTGACAAGGTCTGCACCCACCTACACACCGGAACGTGCACATATATGTTCATCGAGAAGCAGGTCATCGACACAGTCTGTTTGGAGATAGGAGGAATTAGTTTCAAGCAGATAGGGAAAGAGGAAAGGCTGCAGAAAATTGCTAAGGCCCTGGTCTTTATCTCGAAGAAGAGATACTTGCACTTTTTGTACTAGTTTACATATATATGTCACAATGGAAGGAGCAGATCGAGCATACACGTCCACATTCAGACAAAGAATAGAGGACATACTCCACCCTAACATTGAGATGGCACACGATGGAAGTACCCCACACACCTCACAGCGCAATTCACCTGAACCTGGGCTAGGACCCCAGGATTCTGCATCACAAGTCAGAGGACCCGCATCCCCGACACCATCACTCTTACCCACCTATATCCCTTCCACCTGGGAGTTTGGTGGACATCAATTCGAGCATCTAGAAGATGCGCTCAGGCAATCTGCCCCCAGAGAAGTCCCGGATCACATCCATGAATGGGTCATAGTCACTATGAAGCTTACGGTTCACACTGAAGTCGCAAAGGTTTACAACGTGCTTGGAAACAAATTGTACGAGCACAAGTGAGCCTTCGATGCGGTCATCTAAATGAACTGAAGCGAGCACCGATTAAAGGAGTCAGTACTCCAGACCAAAATAGGAAAGCTCAACAAAAAAATCCAAGTGCAAGACGCGCATATGACAGTTCTCAATGATGAGCTCACGGGCACACAAGGGGCAATGCTAGACATGGAAAAAGAAATGATGGAGGGCAAGGCAGCAAACACTAAGCTGTGACACAAGCTAGCTTCGCTCAAAGCAAGTGGCATCTCAATGGTGCAAGGTCAAACATCTGGCATGGTTCAATCACACAAACACCACATCAAAATTGCTGAACCTCCACACTACTCGGGCAAAGGAAGTCTGGAGGACTGGCTCCAATAACTCGGTATATGGATGCAGTGGAACGAGATCAATGACAATGAGCACAAGATTATCATGGCCCTGTTACACTTGGAAGGTGGAGCATTCACCTACATGTCAGAATACGCAACAAGGGCAACAGCACGGCAATCACTCAGTACTTGGGAAGACTTCGTCGATATTCTCAAAGTCAACTACAGGACACTCGACCTGGACAAGGATGTGCAACAACACCTGAAGGAGATCTGCGCAAAGACCTACCCTACGATAGTCTCCTTCGCAGAAAAATTCTGCCAATGGGCCACCAAGACCAACTTGGGGCACACAGCACTTATCGGTTATATTGCTGAACACTGCGACAAGGACGTGCACCAAGCAATGGTGACACGAGATAGCCTAGGAATTGCTGACCTGACCACATGGCCAGAGTATCTCGACCTCTGTCTACAACTCGAGTCAAAGTTCAGAGCCGACAAGGCAGGACAGCGCGAAATGACATCATCATCATCATCGGCACCATGAGCCCCGAAAGACCCCAACGTGATGGTTGTGGATTGAGTATCCACACTCACCAAGGAACAGGAAGGATGGCTGGAAAGGAAGCTATGTGTACGATGCGAGAAACACCCCTTCGTATTTAAACAGCACTGCTCGGACCCCAAATATAAAGGCAAATTTGAGATGCCAAAGAGAGGCCAAGCGACAAGGGTGATATTGACACCAGTGGCATCAAGCAGTTCCAATGACAGCAAGGTGAGAGAGGAAGCAGTCCGCGCTTTCATCGTCAGCTAGAACGCAAAGGGGAAAGAAAAGGAGGCAGAACTGGCACCAGCTGTCGAAGCAGCTAGGATCACGGAGGTAGAAGATGATGAGGATTTTCTTCAGCAGGTTCTCTGAGGTCTGGCCAGAGTTCCCATAGACATTGTAACAGTACCTACTCGATCTTGCATGTACCAGTATCAGATCTGTTATACATTGCATCAACTGGTTCATCGAAACATGTGATCAATTTACCTGTTCACCTCAGACAGGGAGTAAGGGAAGTCCAGACTGAGGCGCTCCTTGATTCTGGAGCATATTCTTGCTACATCAACCCACAGCTGGTTGATCGGTTGAAACTTGCTATGATCTCACTTGAGAAGGAGATCAGGATTTATAATGCAGACACATCTCACAACAAAGGTGGAACCATTAAGAAAAGGGTTCTTCTTAGTATAACCATCGGAAACCACACAAGCAGACAAAGCCTTCTGGTTACCGATATAGGTCACAAGGACATTATACTAGGCATGAGTTTCCTCAAGGAGCACAACCTAGAGGTAGATTGGGGAAAACTCACGGTCAATTTCACCTGATGCCCACATAGATGCACACCCTCACAGGTAGCAGTCCAGGAGGAGGACCTGGAAGACACAAATATCCCCCACATCGAAGACCTGATGGAGTTCATCGGTTCCCAGGAGTTAGGTGACAACTGAAAGGACATGGGCAGCTTCATTAGATGGGTGTCATTATTAGAAGACCCTGATGCACAAGCCATAGCATCACTCATTATAGGCCTTGACACCAAGAGGAATCAGGATAGAGCACCACAAAAAGGAGAACAGGACAAAGACTACTGGTCAGCCTACGTCCCCAAACACTTCCACAAGTATGTATCACAAACTTAGGACGCAGAGCGCCGACTAAGCCTATGACCTTAT